CAGTGACTTCTAAGCTGCCTCTCCCCTCTGACTCCTCCCAAGTGTTTCCATGTAGAGTGAAGATTTCAAGTGTGTGTTTTCCCAGAGCGCGTGTTTATTTTATTGTGGTGACAGGAGACTTAGCCTCTCATGTTACATTATTTGAATCACTGTTCATAGTTAACTAGCACATACTTTATCCTCATTGAATAGCAACTTGTTTCCCTGGCAGCCAGCATTGCACTCTCTAGTTCTGTAAGTTTGACTATGTTAGTTGCTTCATGTAAGTGCAGTCATGCAGTATCTGTCCTCCTGTGACTGGCTTTCTCCTCTCAGCATAATGTCCTCTAGGGCCATCCCGTTGCAAACAGCAGGCTCTCCATCCTTTGGAAGGCTGAACAATATTCCAGTTGAAGTATACACTGCATCTTTGTCCGTGCAAGCACTGACTGACTCTTAGGTTGCTTCCATAACTTGGCTGTTGTGAATAATGCTGCAGTGGACATGGGGGTGCAGAGATCTCTGTGAGAGACTGCTTTCAATGCCTTTGGATGAGTACCCAATAGTGGGATTGCTGGGTCATGTGGTAGTTGTAGTTTTCATTTTGTCATTAAATCACAATGGCCATATTATGAAGAATCCTTATATAGCGGCCTTTCTCACTAGACTCTAAGTCCTTGACGATACGTGGTTCTTAGTGATCTCATTACCACCAGCACAGTGATGTGGGCGCCTAATTAATTTCAGTTGCCTGAGTATCGCTCAGTCCTCGAGCACACTGATTCTCCTTCAGCCACGTTGTCCTCACCTGAAATGAGAGTGTGGGGGTGAAGTGGAGACGGGAAGGTGCTCCCCAAAGCCATCTTCTTATACAGACTGTGTAAGGCAGGACTGACTTCCGTGTTAACATAAACTGGCTTCATCGTACACCTTTCCGGCTGCACATACCGATGTCTGTGCTGTGTGTTTTGCCTCCAGCTGTTCCTCGGACCAGCGACACCCAGTGCAGCTCTGTCCCCGAGCCCAGATATGGAAGGAGGATCGGTTCTGAGTTCTCGGCAGGTTCGATTGTGCGATTTGAGTGTAACCCGGGATACCTCCTGCAAGGTTCCACGGCTGTCCGCTGTCAGTCGGTGCCCAACGCCCTAGCGCAGTGGAATGACACGATCCCGAGCTGCGTGGGTAAGCGGGGTCCGAGGCTGTGGGTCCCACCTGCATGTGGCAGTGAAGAGTTGCGTGTCAGTGCGTACGTCCAGTCTGCATAAACCGATCACGCTCCTGACCAATTTAAAGAGCGACCTGCTGTATCAGAAACCACGGAGCAGCTCCAGATCCTAAAAGCTACCGTGTTTCCTGAAACAAGTTATCAGAAGGACAAGTAGGAAACATGTTTTTCTTCTCAGTCCTTGTCATCAACTCTCAAGCCACCAGTGAATGGCGTTATCTCATTTGGGGAGAAATCAATCTAATGTTGATTTGCTGCATTACTTGTGTAATGCCCCTTTAATAAATGTGTCCTGATGAGGGTTGGAAATGTGACAGGTTAGTGCAGCCTGAATGACAACGACAGTGTCAGCCATAGTTTAACTTCTTCATTTTGTGCACGAACGTCTAGTGCAATCACAATTCACGCTTGAGTTCATTTGCGCATTTTAAGTGTCTCTTCTCCTCTGGATTTCCTCACAAACACCATTAATAGCATTTGGGGTTAGTTGCAGGCCTGTACATGGGAGAGAACTCCGTGAAGCTCCTCAAACCGTAGTCGATAAATTATTCCAAACAGATTCACTCCAGAGACACCATTGTTACGTGCAGTGTCTTCTCAGAGCCCTTGAAGAGATTTCTTTGTAGACACAAGATCATAACTTAGTAGCCTAGTAAATAATAATTCATGATATTACTCAGTGAGACGACAACAGGCTAAATTTGATCTTGGTGTAAACAAACGCCATTTGCAATATCATAGTCCATGTAAAATTTCTCTTACTATCTGATGTGATAAAAGACCGCTAAGCACCAAATCACTGTTGTCCTTCACTGTACTTTATTTTTACCGAATTCGGTTTTGTCTTTCAGTCCCCTGCAGTGGCAATTTCACTCAGCGGAGAGGTACGATTTTGTCCCCTGGGTACCCGGAACCATATGGCAACAACTTAAACTGTATCTGGAAAATCATCGTGACGGAGGGATCAGGAATTCAGGTGAGTCCTTCAAGCCGGCGCTGCAGGAAACAGGACCTAACCGGGTCCAGGGTTTGTAGCTTTCTCTTTCTTTTCCTGTTTGTTTGTTTTTTTTTTATTGTTTATTTTCAATGCATAAACCGTAACCCGTTTATCTTTTCTTACTATTTCTACAAAGTGCCTCTAATCACGTTTCTAGATTTTAAATTGTAATAAATATTTTTAGAATAAAATCTATTAAAAGTGCCATTTGTAGAAATTGTTGGCTACCTTTTCCATGGTTTATTTTCCTTGGTTACACCTTCCTCTTGCCTGCGTATATAATTTCATGACAACCTCATATGAGCAGGCTAACTTTTTACACCAAAAATCAACACTAACTTAATATTCTTGTTTGGTAGATTCAGGTCATCAGCTTTGCCACCGAGCAGAACTGGGACTCCCTGGAGATTTACGACGGGGGAGACGGGACGGCGCCCCGACTGGGGAGTTTCTCAGGTCAGATGCCGCCCGTCCCTGTGCCTTTGGGAGTTAGGCCCCCAGACACTGATCACGTAGAACACTCGATGGACACATTTCTCTCCCAGCCCTTCCATGTGCACAGTGGTCCCCTCGGATCAGCAGTCTGAGGCAAGGGCACCCACCAGCGGGGAGAAGCCAGCTCTGTCCCAGTGAGCGAGAGGCCCATGTGAGCCTGGGGCTCACACACCCACAGCTGTGCAGCCTGGGCCGTTCGGTACCCTGTGGGCACAACAGGAAGTCTTCCCTGTGGACGTTCAGTTCGGGCAGGATGAAGCGAGTTTTGAGATTCTGTACTGGCCAACTTGCCTTCTCCCAGATACTTGTTAGAGGCGCTTGGCACAGGTAGGCCCAACCGAGGCAGCGGTCGGACAGGCTGGGGCCAGTACAGCTGGAAAATTTCTGAATGAGTAGGAATGAAAATACCAAAAGGGATCAGAGGAGGAGAAAAAGAACCTTCCAGGACTGTGGTTATGGCAATGCCCGGGACAGGAAAAATGAGTTGTGAAGAGCGTGGTGAGAACGCTCTAGAAATGCAGGCAGCAGCTGGCTCACGCAGGGACTTTAGGCCAAATCAAGGGGCTGAAATTCATCCTAAGATGATCCGGAACCTGTCACAGTGCGGCCAGGACAGTCTTATGTCCATTTTCCCCAAGAGCCCTCTCACCCCTGAATAGAGGATGAATCAGGGAGGCCCCAGGGAGTTCAGAAGACAGGTGGGCAGATGGCAGTGCTGGTACTGCTTCCCAGGACCGGTGGTGACGCTGGGGAGGTGGAGGGACGGCCACCGAGGGGATCAGGAGGCTGCCTAGTTGGGGCCTGACGCCGACTGTTGGGCGGTGTGGTCACAGAGAGGAGGAGGCTTCTGACGGGAGGACATGTGTGGACATGGGGACACGGGGTGTCCGCCAGGTGCAGAGTGTATTATGAGTTCAGCTGCGCACACATCGCAGGGCTGCGGAGCCATGTGACGGACACCTGGAGTCGTTGGTTTACTTGAAGCTGTTGGAGGGCATGGAATAGTTTAAGCAGAGCGTGAAGGACGACGGAAGATCTTATCTTTTCAATAATGTCCGTCCGTCTCAGACAGTTATCGACTTATGTCCTTGTTTTGTTATTTAAAGTAGTATTTCTTTCTTCACACATTAGTGTTATCTGTAGTGTAGCTTTCTCTAGCCCTCCGCCCGGACCACGATTATTTGTCTCGGCGGGTGTTTCCTTGCCGTCTAGTCAGCGTCTACGTATTTAGAGTATGATTTGAATACAGTAGAGCATCGAGCATCCATGCTGTAGGAAAAAGGGGTAGGAACTTGCTTCTCATTGTCACAGGCTGTACATTCCACCCAGATGTCTTCAATTCCCAGAGATGAACGTTTGTCTCTCGCTGGCGCCTTCCAGTGTGCGAGCTGCTGTCACGCTTGCCCTCCCGTCTGAGTGTCTCCTGATTTGTCGGTTACTAGTAAGCAGGCTAGAACAGTTGAAGCCAAAGAGGCATTATATAAAATAAGCCTATATTTTCTTTTCACACACGTTTAGTGGAAATCACTCCCAAATCTCAGTGGGAACATTATTCAGTATGAATCACACAGGGATAGAAATGAGACTATGTAGTCAAAAGCAACATCTTATGAATAATATATTGGATCAGCTCTGCGCCTCCAACGTCCATAAGACGTGCATGTTAGGTTTTGTCTCTTCTTTGTTCAAGTCAAAAGAAAAAAAAAAAGGCAAATGCTTACACTGTTCAAAAGGAGCCATGTGAAAAACCAAACCCATAGTAAAGTGTAAGAATTTGTGTTCCTCCACTGATGTGCTAGAAACATGTCACATCTGCTTGAGGACGGCAGAGAAAATGTGTACTCTTTTCCAGTTCCTAGAAAGAGAGAGGGGCTCAAAGTGTAAGGACCAGACAGAACATGCGGCCGTCAGACAGGATGGGGGTGGCCAGGCTGAGCCCATGTCCCGCCTGCTCTGTATTCAGGAGCGTGATGCTCTGTGATGCTAACGCCCTGTCTGCACCTTCCTCAGGGACCACAGTTCCCGCGCTGCTGAACAGCACGTCCAACCAGCTCTACCTGCACTTCCAGTCAGACATCAGTGTGGCCGCGGCCGGTTTCCACCTGGAGTACAAAAGTAAGGTCAACTGTTTCTGCGTCGGACTCTCACTGTTAGGTCCGGGTCTTTCCTTAAAGGAAAACTAAGTCCACCCCCTTATTACACAGTGAAATCGGATTCCACAACTGTGTTTAAAAGTTGCATGAAATGGGGTTATACAGAATCTAGTTCTACGAAAAATCTATTATGAAAGACAAATTAATGGGGACATGAAGAAATTAGTACCTGGGATGACTAGATAAAACAACTGCTAGAATTTCAGGTTGTTTGTATTAAAAAGCATAGAAAGTACCCATTTGTAATAGTCTTTGTTTTCTTGTGGTAGCAAATATTCACATTGGCATCTAAAAAACCTAGACAATCATAATTTCCAAATAGATTATGATCGTATGCCCTGTCAGTTTCTAGTCTCGAGGCTGCAAGAATAAGGACTCGCACGAAGCAGCCCCTTCCGTGTCTGCATTCATGTATTTTTAATTTTAATTGGAGGAAGGTATTGCAAAGGAGCCGCTAACCTTTTAAAAATGGATGTGAGACTGAGTTAATAGTCTGATAAATGGATGACAAAGGTCAAACTCACAAATCTTCTTTGGCGTTTGATTATGCAGGTAAACCTTGTGAAAGTGAATGAGAATTTCCAATGAGAATGAGGTTTATTTTAGGACATGTTTTCAAGCACTAAAAATGCTTAATGTTGATATCCATCTCCTTTAATAAGCAGTTGCAAATAAGCAAATACGTGGATAAGCTTTAATAAGTGATCTTTCCAATGGAGATAAACAGTGGGCTGAGATGTAAATGTATGGCTGTGTTTGAAAGGCCAGATTTCCAGCTGATGATAAATATTCGGAACCAGGCAGGAACCACAGGGCTGTTTCGCATTCCAGCTAAACCTCCCCGCTTATCTACAGCCCTTCCCGCGCTAGTTTATTCCAATTGATTTGAATAGGACGACTTGGGTGACAGTGTAAAATGATGTTGTGGGCATTATTTATGTCGGATCTGTCTAGAAAAAAACCTGCTCCTGTGATACATTTTGTGAACATTTGTGGATAGGAAACTATGAACCTTATTTATGAGAGTGGTAATAAATTCACTAATATCTTCAGCAGTGTTAGAATCGAGGAATGCACTTATCTTTTCCTCAAAGTTATCTTGTGTCGTCTGGCTTTCCCTCACTTATGGAAAGAGATGCTAGTGAAATAATTAGTCTACAATTAATATTGTGTACAACGACCCATGTATCTAGAGCTCTAAGATGTAATTATCTACATTCTACTTTATTCCCAGCCAACGTACCCCCCTGAAAGAGCCACATTGAGATATTTCTCACTGATGCACCTCTTGTTCAAGAATCTAAGGTGTCATTTAATTTTGTAAAGCATTTTGTTTTTAATTTGGACAAACATAATGCTGCGTTTTCAGTTGCTACCATTTTTTTTGAGGGACTGTTTTTGGAGGGTAGCACCTTCTGAGGGTCATCCCTTCCCTGCCGTGTGCTAAGAGACAGTCATCTCTCGGTTGTCATTCTTTGTGCCAGAGCTTAAGCTATGGATTATATAAAGTGTATGTAGAAGTAATCTTATCAAAGTCAATATCAAACAGTATGAGGACTGTCGAAGTAAGCTGCCAAAAGATGGTCTAATATTTTTCACCTGTTGACATATTTTTGCATCTACCTTACAACATGTAGTGCCATCAGCCAGTGGTGTCTAAGTCAGATTTGTCACTAAAACTTGTATCCATGAAATAATGAACACAACGTCAGCAGGCACTCCCTGCCATGTCCTGCTTGGAACGTGCACTCATTTGTCCTCAGAAGAACACTGCTTTTCAGGTGTGTTCAATTTGTAGAGGAGCAAAAACAGGATAGATACGGAGCGTTTTCAGTCTGCCCAGGTGTAGGTCCCACTGCCAGTGATGACAGACTGCACGCAGACGCAGACAAACTTCATAAGTGGTGTCCAGTCCCCAAGCAGCTGAGCATGTACCCAACGGGGCTGTGTCACCGGCAATGACCAGGTGTCCTGGTGGTTGAGCACCTGGAGAAAGTTCTGGAGTCTGTGAGTCTGTCGGAAACCCAGCGGGTCAGACCCCAACGCCTGAGCTGGTACAGGGAGGCCACACCCGCTTCCTCCCACGAGTCCCAGTTTTCTCACATGGGACTGAAGGCGAAGCCAGTCACTGACAGCCCACTACCCCAAAGGCACAGAGGGGTTCTCTACAAACAGCACACCCTCGTATGCCAAGGGCAGGTTTGTAAAATATCATGATGACGAAGTGATTCTAGGGGGTCCCACGCGATATGTATTCTATGGGGTCCCACCCGATATGTAAGAGGCAGTTTTTCTGTGAATTTACATCATCCAGGGATGAGCTCGGGAGGTCAGCACTTTGAATACTTACTGTTGGGTTGTCGGAAAAGTCATGATGCATTTTTACAATGAAAAACATAGAAAAATACATCATGACTTTTCCAACAACCCAATATATCCTTGTAGCCATCTACCCTTCTTTGGCAGCATTTAACTTGATTGGAAATGTGACAAATTATACATCAGAAAGCACACAAGTGTCACTCTTACTCTGGCCTCTTTTCTTTAGAAAAACAAACAAAAGAAAAGAATAAAATATCGGAGAACTTTAGATTCTACGTATGTAAACAATGATGATATTGCTTTATCCTGGAAAATATAAAATCTGAACTAAAGGTGTGTGACATGGGACCCACTCGAGATCAGTTTGGCAGTGACTATCCTTGAACTCGACATGAAAAAAATTTTTATATATCATTTATGAATATAGCATGTTTATTGATATATGCACTTACATATCATATAAATAAATGATATTCTTATGATATTTAGGATTATCACATATGACTTATGTATATATCAGTAGACAAGAGTTCATTGACTTCAGTGGGATTTGGTGGAAAGAGGGCTAATTAGATTAAACATGGGCTCTGTTGAATTGTTTCTATTTGTCCTATTTTTAATTTGTTCAATTTTTTTACCTTTTTCCTGCCAGCTTTGGTTTAATGGACTCTTATTATTGCTCTGTTGTGTATATCCACTATGGGCTCATTGGATAAAACTTAAAATTTTAATCATTTCCTAGAGTTTAACATATTCATCTTTAATATAGCACAGCTTACCTTCAAATGATGTCATTTTATGCAGAGTCTCAGAACCCTAAATATACTTTTAATTTCTCCTTTTCATCTTTTATGCTATTATTGTTTTACATTTTATTTTTACATGTTATAAATCCCACAGAATATTTTTACTATTTTTGCTTTACGTACTCAATATTCTTTACAAATGATCAAAAATAAGGACAAATATGTCTCCATGTTTCGAGCTTTTTATTTCTTTGGGTAGATCCAAGTTTCTGGCTAAACTTTTCTTATCTAAAGAACTTTCTTTACCATGTTTTGTCACATAGCTCTGCTGGCAATGAATTCTCCCAGCTTTTGTTTTTCTGAAGAAGCCATCATTTCACCTTCATTTTCAAAAGATACATTTGCTGGGCATAAAAGTATGGGTTGAAAGTTTCTATTTCCAATAGATTAAAGATGTCACTCCATTATCTTTGCGTTTCTTAGTCTATGAAGAGAAGTCAACTGAATTTTTTTGTCTGTATGTATGTGACCCTTTTCTCTAACTTCTTTATGTTTTTTTGTTTGTTTGTTTTTATCTTGTATTTCATCAGGTGGAGTAGGATGTGTTAGGTGTGTGTTAGGTGTGTGTGTGTGTGTACATGCACACACTTAATATTCACCCTGCTTGGGGTATTCCAACATTCTTGAGTGTATAGTTTGATATCTGTTATTATTTATGAAAAATTCTTGGCCATTATCATCCCAGATACTTCTTTTGCCCCATCCTTCCTGATGCTTCTGGGCCTCCAATTACACATGTTAGACCATTTGATATTATTTCATAATTCCTGTTTGCTCAGTTCTGTTTTATTCACCGCTTTCTGTTTGTGTTCCAGTTTGTGTAATTGCTGTTAACCTTTTTTCAAATTTGCTGCGTCTTTCCTCAGAATACCCCAGTGTCAAGTCTATTAATGAGCTCATTCAAATAATGCTTTGTCTCTGATATTTCCATTTGACTCTTTCTTATAATTGTTGTCTCTTCACAATAATTACTCCGTCTCTGCGTGCATGCTGGCTTTTCTACTAGATCCTTTAGCATATTTCTCATAGTTATTTTAATATCTCTGTTTAACATATCCATTAATGAGTGTGCTCTGAGTCTGATTCTGTTACTTGCTTTATCTATGGGCAGAGGGTTGTTTTTTCTTGCTTTTCTGTGTGTTTGACCTTTTCTATTGAAGCTGGACACCGTGAGTAGAACTGTAGAGACTGCTGTTAGTGATTATGCCTGGAAACGATATTCACGCTGCTGACAGCATCCATGCCTGGGAATTCATGCCTCCGTTAGGTTGTGGAGTCCATCTCGCCCAGCCAGTGGGCTGAGTTTCAGTCCTGTTGTTGCTATGGTTACTTTCAGCCCATCATAGGCTTCAGATTCCTCTATTGGGGAGCTGTCATTGCTACATGCTTCATTTGGGGTCGTTTTCTCAGTGTTAGCACTCCACCTTCAGCTTTAGTAATCCCTAAACACCTTTTCAGGAGAGGGGTCTCCCTTCAAACCCCTGCTCCTCCCCCAGGGCTCGGCTGCTGCATGCCACCCTGTGCTGAGCTCATGCTGAAGGCCAGTTGCTCTGTTCTCTTCCAGCCTTAGCATTTGAGTTTTACTATGATTTTATGATTAAAACTGTTAAAATTATGGAGTGAATAAAGTTTTCTAATGAAAGTCATGTAGGTTATTTTTAACTCTTTTCCCCTCCACCCCAACTGTGAGTAAGTGTGGAGGGTATTAATTTTCTTACCTGAACAGTGGTTGCAAATGTTGTCCCTACCGTTTTATAGCGAGATTCTAACTTTATCGTTGACGATTGCGATGAGCATAAACTGAGGAAAAACCTGATTGAAATATTTGTTTGTTCTAGAGTGCTGTGTGAATCTGCATATTTCTGAGAACGGT